TATATGCAGGGTGCCTCCAGAGTGCCTGCCAACTCAGCAGCGGCGGACACCCACAAGCAGAGGATCAAAGTGTAATAGCCAGCGAAACCACTGCCTGAGTAAAATGCATACTGAAGACTTTTATTTACTTTAAACTACTGCCATGAAATATACAAGTATGACACATATTAACATCCGATTGTAGCGTGACTATAAGCTTCTGTTTTTCTGTGAGAAGTTATTTGTTTATCCCTGCAGCTCCTACTGTTATACATGCAGATCACTAGCAGTCAGGATTAACTGGTATTGGACACTTTGATCAAGGCTTTATAAAGATGACCTCAGTAATGACAACGTTAAAAGTATTTCATATCTTGATTTAAAGTGATCTAATGATTTCACCAATCATTTATCTTTTGATAAGACTCTGCCTCAGCAAAATATGACTGAATAGATTATCTGTGGAGAGAGCTAAAAATGAGGGTGGAAGCCTTCTGAACAAGTGAACCATGCTTTTCTAACTTCAATAGTCCTCTAACATTAACAGGAGAGAGCCGCCTGTCTTATTTCCTATTAGAAACAAACCTTTTTTTTCTTGTTTTTCCCTTTTTGGGCTTTTTTTTAGTTTTCAGTAATTCTATTTAGCTGATCTTTGGTTTATTTTCCATTTTATGTTACATTTAAGCAGTCTTAAGTTAATCTCTGTCTCCCTTCCCCTAGCGCCCTTCTAGTCTTCCATCCACACCTGCTCCATATCAGTTGATGACCCCAGTCTTTGTTCTGTCTCCCTCTGCAGTTCTTCAATGCTGGTTCCTTGCTGTAACTTGGCCCCCATGTGCGTTTTCCCCTGTTGTCTCCTGGTTTTTGGCTCTTGGATTTTGTTTCTGTTGCCTTTTTTTGATTAAACCTACAAGAACTCATCTCTGCATTTGGGTCCTCAACCAACCTCCACCCTCATGTTGATACTTTTGTTGAATTAAAATACATCTCATGTTATGGGAATTACTAATATGGGGTCGAGTGTATTTTATTTGAACAATTTTTAAAGAATAGGGAGAAGTTATATGATGGAACCTGAATTTTGCTTTGAAAGTGACAAAAAGGCAAAACATTTCTTGTTTTAAATCGGGTATAATTAAGGTCTGGTAGCAGGTCAAACCAGACCTTGCCCATAATGTACGCCTTCCACGTCTGAACTAGACATTTATTTGTCACCTTGTCAGCCACGTGAACATAAAGCGACTGAAGGAACGGCTCTGTGCTCATGGAGGGTGAACTTAAACATCCCAGCCTGTGGCCAGACAAAGACACTGAGTCAGGGCTCAAACAGCAGCCCCTCCCTGTAGATATGTCTAATGGCGTGATGGAAGAAATAAAGGTGGTGACGACGAAACTGGGATTGCTGGGGATTTAACAGGTCTGCATCTCTAAAAGTATGTTAAAGATGTTTCCAACTGGTTCAACAGGACTCCTGGAGGACTTTTGGTTTCAAAATGAATCATCAGCAGGACAAGCAACTTTCAGACAAATTCAGTTCAGTAAACGGTTAATATGTGGGCGAAAATATTCTAAAAGAATGTAAAATGTAAAGGACATAAGCAGAAAATCTGGAAAACTGTCATCAGTTAACCACAAAAGCCTTGGAACTAAAAAGCTCTTGTTACTCGTTTATGTTTCAGCGTCATGCAAATAAATTTGTTTAAATATTGCGGCAGTTTGTTTGAGGAAACATCTAGATTATCCCGAATACAGCCGAGGCTAAGAGACACTTTTCCCAATTAAACTCAAATTCCCAAATGATGATGGTTTAAATATTGAACTGCATAAAAAGTAACCCTTCTAAAACATCAACAGGCAGCTCCGATTGCTTTTATCTAAACTACCAAAACATGTATTTAATAGAATTTTGATGTCATGCAATGATGCTGAAATAACATAAAACTAGACTTATAATAGTTCTCACAAAAATATGATTTAAAAACAAATAAAATACAGATTTTTATTGTTATTAGCTTGAAGTATTACATAACTCTACCCTAAAAGGCTGGATTACCCTTATAAAACTGCCACAGGTGATTTGACAAAAAAATGATCTATTATTTCTTCTTTCAAATAGTATGGCATGATTTAGATTACTAAAATAACAAAATTATTACAAAACAAAAATTGAAAATGAGGCAGTTAGATGTTGCTGGAGTAGATAAATTGAAAAAAGAAAAATTATAACTGCATCTAGCTGGAAACGTTCGGGGGCAGCAAAGTGGGAGATTATATGATATAATGGCTTGCCGGCACTAGTCTCCCACTAACACAGCTGTATCAGTGGAGGCCAAACATTTTTTTTTTAATAACTGAAAAAATCCTGTTTACCTTTATTTCCGACTTTTCCAGCGTGTTTTACAGTCTGGAAAGTTTCAATTAGTTTTAATAATATTCTATATTTTGGCTTCGAACACAATGCATTTGGACTTCATCATCTAGATGACAGGGAGAGTGTTTAAAGCAAAAACATATAGCATACTTTTACTGCAAAGAAAAAAAACAACACTTATCCCTATGACTCCCAGAATAACATAGGTAACATGTTATTACAGGTACAATGATGTCACTATTATTGTTTATTATAAATTGGAAAATATAGAATAAAATCATTTTAAATCCATAAATAGCTTTTAAGTAAAAATGCTCTTAGAACAGAATATTTTAAAGGGTTTTAACAATACATTAATACAAAATGAAAACATTGCATCCACACGATTTCTAAGCTCTTACAGGCAACAGCCTTTTTCTCATCATAAAAGTATAATCCTAATATAGTGCAGTGAATTTCAAAATAAAGGCCTTTAGGATATGCCTTTATCTATATGCCTTTATTTTAAAATCCACTGCACTAGAGTAGGATGATACTTGTATGATTAGGAAAAGGCTCTAAAAGCTTAGAAATAAAATAATTCTACCATATTTGATTTTTTTTTTTAAAGGGATATAATATGGCCTAATATCAATCACAGACTTATGAGAAATCGTACTCACACAGACTTTGTGATATCGACAGTTATTGTATCGTCATCTAAATAAATCAATATAACATTAATTCACGAAAAAACTGGTGATTTGTTCCACTAATGTTTCACTAATGTTTAAACTTTTGCTTTAGGAAATTTTTCCAAACAGTAAAAAATTTTTATTTAAATCTTGGAAGTAAAAGAAACGCGTCCCGGCGGCGAGCTGGAGAGCGCTGAACTACTTCAAGCTGAATGTCTATAAAATATGCCCCGTCACATCGACATTCGCCAGAATTTCCAAACAAACCCAGCTGTAACAGGTAGAAGGTTTAATGCAAGACGTTTACCGACACGAGGTCCTGACGTGTACTTTGGACCTTGTAATTTGAGGGCACATGCTCAGACAAGGATTTGAGTCACGGTGTTGCAAATAATAAAAATGACATCCATCAGAAGGTGGGCCCTGTCATTACAAAGAAAATAATAATAATAATAACAGACTGAGAATTTCCACAGAAACGGCCACAAAAGAAAAACAGAAGGTGACATATTAACAGGCTATTATATATCATATATGTTTGTCACAATGTTGGTAAACATAATAGAAGTCAGGTGTTTCAGTCCACATTTTATAAAAGAAAAAAAACACCACTTATGATAAGGGAAGTGTGTAAACTGGTGATGGAAGACTTTACTGGTACGTGTTTGTCAGTTTGACTGGTCATTAGTAATAACCAGCCACACCCGTCATTGGACATGAGGAAACTTCTGTGTCTCAACCCCTGCAGAGAAATCATCCAGGGTCTACGTCTCTGCCTCGCACGTCAGGGAGGAATATGTCCCTACTTGTTTCACTTCATAGCACACACACACACACACAATTACTCACTCCCAGACATGTGACTGGCAAACCCCGAGCCCTGACAGTGTGTGTCAGCATTAAAGACACCACTGCTCACATGCTGCCCGTCACATCACCTGGTTTTCTAAAGCCACAAGAAAAGGCCAGCTGCATTTAGGGGAAACCAAAGAACCCAAAGAATTTGCACCTTGTTATCATGCTTTGCAAAAAGTAATCAAACCCGTTAAACTTCTGTTGACAGGACTACTAAGAATATTGACTCCACAAATCTGGTCTTAATGGAAGAGTGAAAGAAGAAAGCCATCGATGAAAGAAAAAGGGATCTGAGGGACACAACAAACATGGCAAGCAGGACGTTCACAATCCATCCAACCTAACAGAGCTTCCCCTCTGTGGAAGCAAAAGTCTCATTCTCTACTTGTGTAAATCTTGTATAAAAAGGTGAATTTTCCATTCCACCACGTTATTATACAATAATGTCACTTAAATCTCCCTCAAAAAATTTATAAATTTGTTCCATGAAAAATACATATCAATATTTTTATGAAGCAGTGCTTAACACGGGGGGGGGACAAAACAGCTTTTGTTTTAGCTTAATTCCTGGTGAGATGGAAGTCAAAACAGAGCGAAAACAGACATCTGTGCTTCCCGTGCCCACACCATGAGTCGTGAGAGTTGCTCCCAAAAATAAGCAAAAGGAAAACAATTTTGTGCTTTGAGAGCAGTGCATGCTGGGAAAAAAAGCTGGATCAGAGAGTGTGCGTGCCATCTGTGGACTTCTGAGTCTGGAGAAATGACAAAAAAGGCTCCAGATTCTCCCTGCTTCCATTCACAGCGATATTCTGGGCAGGATTATCATGTTTCTGACAGGATTCCCCAGTATGCCAGCGGATTTCTGCTATGAAATGGAAACAGATCTGATGCACTCTGAGCTTCTCTTTGAAATCATCTCATTATCAGATCTCAGACACCAGAAATTAATTATCTAAATCTCTCTCTCTCTCTCTTTGAAGATGACCATACATACTTTTTTTGCCTGAGAGGAATAAATCTGCCTTCTATTTGCAGCCTGGGAGGTTGTCAGAAAAACAACCAGCAATCAAACAGACATTAGAACAACAGAGAGGACTGCAGGGTGTCCGATGACAGCTTACCTGTGTTTCTCCAGCTCGTTGTGTGACGATCTGGAAAAGAAAAGACGAATGTCAAAAACGAATAATCATATAACCCTTAAAATATCAGGCAACATCATAAAAATCATTTTTTTTTATTTGAATGTGCAACAGATTTTGCAATTTTAGAGGGACACACCAAGAAAAGGAAAACATACAGAGATTAGAGACAAAAAAGGCTTTAAAAGTGAAAAAATCTGAGTATACTGACAGAAAAAGAGCAGAAACTGACGCAGACCTCTCGCTAGGTTAATTTTCCAAAGCTCCTGAACCTTTCCGCCTTAACTGACTCATCAGATCTTCATATAACTCTTATACGACATATACTATATTCCATTAATGCAGGAAAAGCAGTAAAGATTCAACCAGATCATATGTAGAGGTCACAGATCGATCGAGCTCTGAACTCCTAAAGCTTGGAGACGCTCGTAGGGGCGGAAAGGTTAAAAGGTTAATGAGCAGTTTGTATTACACAAATCCTCCAGGAACGTTTTGTACAGATGGAGGAAACCCAACACCACTGTTAACCTGTCAGGGAGGGGTCAGCCAACTAAGATAACCCCCAGTGAAAGGTGTGTAATAAGCTGTTATGCTAAGGTTCTTCACAAAGGAACTCAGGTTAGCCACTAAGCATCTTAAGATCTCTTTCACTTTAGTTAATATTGATCAAATCACATCTACCATTAGTGGGGAAAGAAAAAAAAATCACACAAAGCTCTTCGCAAAGATGTCTGTTAGTTTGCAGGAAATAAAGGAAAAGAAAAGCAGCTTAAAATTCTTTGATTTAGAAAACTAACTAAAAGTCAACAACACTCATCTTAAGTGTCACACGCATCATTTCGTTCTCTTAGAAATGTTTCATACCGGTTTTGACAAATAGTTATTTATAGTATTATTTATAACTCTTAGTCTAATGTACGGGAATGATGGCGCTGAAGTTAATATTAGTCACCAGCAGGAAGTCTTTCATAGTTACGCTGCTTTATTCATTCCAACAGATATTAGAACCACAATTAATGGAAACAGATGGTCAAACAACAAAAGAAATTTAGCTTTTGCTGTTTGACATTAATGTACGAAAATAAATTGTGTCATAATTCCGCGAAACTCTCTTTTTTTTATGCTTCGCTCATTTCGCAGCAACATTTAAAAGGTGTACGGGACATTTCGTCCTGCAAACACCCAGCCTCAACTGTAATTAAATATAATTATCAGTCCCATAAACAAGAATATACTGGCGCACAATGGAAAAAAAACTACATCAAATTAAAATAGGATTAAATGCCTAAAAAAAAACAAAAAAAAAACACATACATGTTTCAATTAGATTCTATGAGATTTTCTATGATTATTTGTGTCCATATTTTGTCCAACATTATATCATAAAAGAAACTAACTGTTATGGGAAAGTTAGAACAAAGGGACTGTAGGGTTATAAAATATGGGTATGAGCTATGGCTGAAGCAATTCATTACTCGTGATTAATCCATTATTGAAATAATCGTTAACTGGACTATAGAGACTCTAAAACGTGTCTTTTGCTGACAGAGCAACCCACTTAGAGCTGTAATTATACCAAGATTGTAAAGAAATATATGTAAACATTTTGCATTTAAGATAAACACAATATTTTTTGTCTGTCAATGTGCTCTATCCATCCTCCTTAAGCAGAAAAGTTTTAGTTTCACCTGGTTTAATTTCGTGAAAAGTCTTTTTTAAGGAACCTTTGGCTATCTGATCATTTATCTATAAATCGAGAAAATAATATAGAGATTAATCTCTTGAACCCAAGTCGGTCTCAGCAGATGGCCGCTCACACTGAGCCTGGTTCTGCTGGAGGTTTCTTCCTGTTAAAAGGGAGTTTTTCCTCTCCACTGTCGCTACAAGCATGCTTAGTGTGAGGGATTGCATTTGAGTCAATGAGTCGATGCAATCTACTGGTTTTCCTTAGATAGAAAACTTTGAATCAATTTGACTGTAGGATCTGATGAACTGTAAAGTGACTTGAGATGACATGTGTTGTGAATTGGAGCTATATAAATAAACTGAATTGAATTGATCTGCAAAATAATCATTAGTTGCAGCCGAAGCATGAGCTGGAAAAGCTGCCGACTGACCTCAACTCAAGAAAATAATATCACAAGAAAGGCGCTAAATTGCAAAATATCAACCATGATGTGAGGGTTCGGTTCTGATTGGCCACGTCTAAGCATGACAACAAACCATGCAAGAAAACATCAGCACATCTGGCCATGAACCCAACATCAGCAGAAAGTAGGTCATATAGCAGAAGCCCGAGCAAACAGGGAGCTAGGAAAAATAATTCCAGATCAGTTCAATGAGGCCAAGAAAACCTTTTCAAAGATATGTTTGTACTCTAACTAAAGCTGCTGTGTACAGACAGATGGGCTAATAAAAAAAAAAATCAGCTGAGGTGGAAAACTGACTGACATGAGCGGCGACGTCCAGCTGCAGAAGAGCGTCACACCCCTGCTGACAGCAAATTTTCACCAATTTTGAGTCCTTATGGGGGTGAAGCAATAAAAATCTTTCAAATAAGCTCTATTAATGTAAAGTTTTAACAGAGCTTTCCATCTAAAATGCTGAGAGCGCAGCTTCTCTTTGGACAGTGTGGTTTGTGTGACAAAGCGTGCATCCTGGATGCCCTTCTGCTGTTTCTGCATGATAGCTGGTCACCGGACGAGGACATGGAAAAAAAAAACCCTCTCAGACGTCTGGAGGCTTCAGACGCTGCAGAATTCCTCAGTGTGTGGGATATTCCAAGACCTCCTCCCCACCAGCCCACTACATTATGACACGCAGGCAGCCGGGAGGGCAGCCGAAACAGGCCCTCTGTTCATGAGGCCATCATGGATACCGCAGCACCAACAAACAAAAACAGCAACAAAGGGGACCGAGGCTGAAAACAAGCCCTTTTTCAAACTTTCCACTGCTCCCAAGGCAGTGGTTCCCACAGCTGTCCCACGACGACGTTTGATGCGCCTAAAGGGTTACCCGGATCTGTCTGCACAGTATCATCCCAGAAAGGAGTGCAGGACGTCACACTGCTGCACTTCTAAATATCCAGAAAAAGAGCCTGACGTCCAGCATGGAGGAAGTCGGGCTATTCAAAGAGGCACGAATTGTGGGAAACGTCGCAGTCAAAGCACAGGGAATGACCAGGAAGTCATGAGCAGGACGGAAATACTTGCAAGTTAACACAGACTTTTTACATATTATGTAAAGGCACAGTATCTGGCATGCAAAACCAATGATGCTCTGTATCTGCTTTTAGGAGGAAGTCGCACAGCAGAGGCCATCCCCTCACCATTTCCCTACTCACAGGAAAGAATTCAAGGCTGCATATAAAGCTCTTTTTTCCATGTGGCTATTTCTATTTCTGTCTAATTCAGATGAGAAATGTGGAACAGACCCCCAGATAAGCTAAAACACAAAAAAACTCCGCCAGGTTTGCTTCTTTCTATAAGCCAATGGAAATTATTGTTTTTATCTATTTTTTTTTTACTGATTTGACTCAACATTTTACCTCCATCTTTTTTCTATTTGACCCTCTTTTTTAATTCTCTATAGGCTTCTTATTATTAGTTAGCTTCAAGGACTAAACCTAAAGGTCCAGTCAAAGCCTTAAAAATAAAAGGGAATGTGGGTACTGAGCAGTTAGAGGAGGATGGCGTGAAAGAGAGACTTCAGATCCGGTGGGCGTGGGTTCGTTCCACAGGTATGTGTGTGGGCCACCACACCCAGAGGGCGCATCCGCACATCCTTTTCATCATTCACCATTAACTGAAAGGATGCGTTTCCTTGTAAGTTCAACAGCATGCTGGAGGATCTGGATGCACTTGAAGTACAACTTCTGATTTAACGAAACTGGACCCGCAGAAATAGTAGAAACAGGTTCACTACCAAGGAATGACGATCCAAAAGCAACCTCTTCATAAAACAGCGTTTAAATGGATGCTTCCTACAAACAGAACCATCAAGTCATTCAGGTTCCCTATCAAACTCATTATTTATTCAGATAAACAGGGAATTGCTAACCAAACATAACCACTGTCACACACCGGGATCAGTTCACTATGAAAAAAAGCACATGCTCATTTAAAAAGACTAAATTAGTTTCCTAGTAAGGGCGTGTCTCCAGTAGATTGAATAGGTTCTGCAGACAAATGAAGGGAAGGTCAATCTGGTGTGACAACTCTGTTTTTAGCAACATGAGCTTAAAGGATTTATTACCCAATCAATTCCTCAGGTTACATTTCAAACAGGCAGCAATCTGTGGTATGTAAAGTTAAGTTGCAGTTTGTCAATAAGCAAAAAGGATATTTGCAAGATTTTTTTGCAGCAATACCCCCCCTCCCCCTGCAGGAAATAACTGTCCTGAAACCATCTTTTATTATAAATCCGGATTATTGTAAGGTCTAAGCCTAAGGATGCCCTTTACCATCTAAAATAACTAAAATATATATATTGCTTTGGATGATTACTGTCCAGGAACAGAGCAGAACTGAATAATGAAGATGGGAGGTTTTGTGTCACCACCGACCTTCCTGAGCGAAACAGTAAAGAAAGTGGGACATTTAGAAGATCTCCGGCGTAAACACCGAACTAAAATCTAAAACTGAATAAAAGAATGCAAATTTGGAGTGAATGTCTTCTGGGAAAAAAGGGTGTTCTTCCATATCCTCTGATGAATTAAAGTATTTTTTTAATATGTCCTTAATTAGCATTGAAAATTAATCTTGTGCTGCAAGCTATAAAGTGGCGAGATCTGAGTTTGCAGTGTCAACAAACCCATCTTGAAAAACTCCCGCTAATACGTCCGTCTAGTAACAGTCAAAATCTCTGTTCATTAGTATAGTGGAGGATTTGCGCAAATTTTTGATTCGAAAAGACCCGCCCCCTCCACTTAATGCACAACCCTGTGCCCGCTCCTGAGAGGGAACGTCTATTAAACGTATGCAAGAGCGTGCACGAGCCCGTTTCTCCTCGTGCACGCTCTGCTTAAAAGTTGCATCGCTCATGCAAGCTTACTTTCCAAAAGAAGATTTGCAATTTTTCATCTATATCAGTCCCAAAAGGTGAAAATGGGGCTGAGCATGTCGCCTTGATTGACAATTAGGAGGACAACTAATCTTGATGATCCACCCACAAAAAGAATATCCTCCGCTTTACCTTTAATTACAAAATATTCAGAAAATAATGTCAATAATATGAAATTAAAAATGAAATTTGACAGATCCAGCAATAAAAAGAGTTCTAAAAAGAACTGATATGCAATGCAGAAGGATATGGAATATAAATAGGAGCTAAGCAGGACACAAAGTGGTAAAGCCAGAGCTATTCTGACAAAAAAGGATAAAATATCGACCTTTAGTCATTCATCTAACCATTTAAAAGTCATAAAGCCTAACTGAACCGAAACTGAAAGCTGCAGTTATGTAATGCAGTCCAGCAGACCTTCTTAAAGTCTGCTGGAATGGGAGGCGCCTTTCAGGGGGGGAACTTTGGGGAAGAAAAGGAAGAAAAAAAACCCCAGATAGTCTGATTTAAAAGGGGTAAAAAAAATAAAAAATAAAAGGACAAGCAGAATGGGGTCTGCCTTTGGTCTCTGTGTATGTTTGGCTATGTGAAGAAATGCGACCCCTCTTTCTTTTTGCAGGACTTTCATTCTGCAAGCAGACACACCAAACAAAACACTCTCAGCCACATGAAAAACACAAGACTTTTAACTGGAGTGAAAGTATTGCAAGCTGTGTTAGACAAGCTGCAGAAACGAAAGGTTAAATGCAAGTCGGATGTGCATGTGATTGTCTCTCTCTCTGGGCTCTCAGCATGAGGAGGGACGCACAGAAACAGACAGAGTTGACAGTGTACGCGTGGCACTGTTGATTGGAGAGACCAAAACACAGTGATCCCAGCCCAGCCCAGACACACACAGGGCTGGGCTACTCATGCTTAGGCACTACTACACTTTACATTGACATGTCACATTAAAAGCAAGACATATATGTTTACCTATTGTTCTGAGCTTTTCTTGAAATTGGTGCAGCTTTAGTTTTCTTTCTGGAAAAGTCGTTGCTGTAAGGTAAAACAGACGCATAACCGTGTTCTGCCTCTGTGGACACACATATAAGACAAAAAAAAAAGGAAAATGTTATTTTTTTTCTGTGCTGACACATCATCAAAGCATTGATGAATATAATCATTGTAAGATATAACGCATGTCTGTGCAAAATAACGCACGTTTTTATAGATTTTATATATTTCCATTTATCAAACGAAATACCCGAGCAAGATGCATTACTAAAAAAAAAAAAAAAAAGTAAAATACTTTATCTTTCTGAAGCACATGATGCTTCAGGGTCCACTTTGTACCCATCGCCTTGTCTGTGTCCCAATGAGAAACAAGTGACATCATACCTGCACTGTAGGCAGGATATGTGTTAAAAACCCAGCAGCATTCAATCGAGCCCCTTTCTAATTTACCCATGCACAAAAAAAAACAGCTTTTTCATATACATGCCACCAACTTCAGCTTTAATTACCTCTATCTCTTCTCTCCAAATATTCTGCAGCCTCCAGCAAAATTAAAAGCGAATTCAGTTCCATCTTCTCCGGCTTTTCTTATTTACTCCTTAAAAAAATAGAATTTAGAATATATATATATATATATATATATCTACACAAATGTACAAATCATAAAATAATGGAATGAGGATGAAAATTAAAAACTGTTCTTCAGCGATCCCTAGATGCTGCTACGTTCACTTCTGAGTCCTGTCGACTCCAAACTACAGTAACAGCAGCATCTGAACTCAGGAAACCAAGTGATTACACCGCTGACCAATCAGAAACGCTCCCCTCGCGAATGAAACACCTCCGCGCGATGTGATTGGCTTGACCGGGTGAAGTCATTGGTGATATGCCCTAGCAACAGCCGCTAGTGCCCGCCTTACTGAATGCTTATTGGCCGCCCGCACTGGATGTAGGCGTTTGATTGGCTAGTGCGGAAGAGGTGGGCGTGTTCATTGGTTGAACTTGGATGTTGTTTTGGTTTCCAAAAATTAGATAACTTTTTAAAGTATGATTTATTTATTTATTGCGTTTTGGTCACGGGATAAGCAACACTCGCTAGGGCAGTACGATACTATTTGTTCCGTTAAACACTTGATATATGACTATTTAAATGGCATGGCATCTAATACTTAGTAACAGGGACAGCGTTTTGTCTTTATTTCCTGTCCAAGTCATCCTGAGAGTATTTTGTTAGTAGGCTCATAACCCCAAGCTACCCAGCTGTGAAGATAAAGGACCCGTTGCAACACCAATTTCCCTTTAAACCTCTTTATTCTTACTTCATCTTTTGGTGCACAATACAGCATGAATGCAAAATAAGAATTGTTTATGCACATACATATTTATCACACCTGGTAAGAATGTGAAAGAGGTTTGGACACTTTATTGCAATAGCATATCTTAAACTACACACAACATTTATTATTATTTTATTATTAGTTGTAGTATTTTACATATATTTTAATATAGAACATCACTATGCAATACTTTATTCAAATCCCTTTTGGTTGAAAACAGGCCCACAGCATCATGGGGCCTCCACTAAAGGTAACTCAAAGGTAAGAGTAGGGTTCTGTCTTATTAGCCTATATGATATTTATATCAAACCAGTATTGAGCATTTCTTCCAAAACAGCGTATCAATAGTCTTATCTTTGTAAAACGCAAACTTCTCAAGAAAAGTTAGCAAACCTTCCATGTTTATATTTGTGATCCCTTAGCAACCAAACATCAAATGTCCCGTATGCTGTTTATTGACTGCTTTCAAGATTTGCTTTAATTATGGTGCAAAGTGCTTTGCTGCATTTCTCTGCATTTTTGAATATTTATTTGCTTACATCCACGGCCTCTTTTTTTTTTTCTTAATGGCAATAGAAATATTGGCATTAATGCAATCTTTAAAAAAGTGGTTTAAATAACTGGACTTTCTTGTCCATGTATTTTTTGTAAGGAAAGTGTTTTAAAAATGGCCGTTCTTGCAATTTTGAATGTATAACCACAAAGGATATTTAAATCGTTTGAATAAATTTTTTTTAGATGTATTAGTAGTTATGGGACCGGTGATCTTGGTAAAAGCAAGGAGGTGGAGGACACAAAGTAAATGCATTAAAATCAAAAGTTGGATTTTTCTTAAATTATATTTAGGTAAATTGGGCAACTGCACAAAAAACTTTCAACCTATTAGATTAGATTAGATTAGATTCAACTTTATTGTCATTACACATGTACAGGTACAAGGCAACGAAATGCAGTTTAGGTCTAACCAGAAGTGCAATAGCAGCAAGTGCAGGATAAATAATGGTTCTATAAACACAGGACATGGGTTTTCTACTGAATGAGTATAGAGATGAATACTATTATAAATAATGAATATAATATATAGATCAGTAGTGTTATGAACTAAATTTACAGCTGGATATGTACCGAATTTAATATTCATTGCAACCAGGTATGCATTTAAATGATCAACCAGAAGTGTATCACCAGATATAAATATGATTTGAACTCTGATGAAATAATATTATACTTGCAAAATGTTTATGATTTAAACTATTTTATAGGTAGAACTTTATGTGTCCTTGTATTTTATTTAGCCCTAGCAAAAATTTTAAAGCATATTCTAATTAGATTTTTTATTTTAGAATAACTTTGTTTTCCGATTGCTCATCTGTCTGTCAGTGTTTATGAAGAGTGTAGGGCTATGTATGAGTATTTGTCTGCACGATTCTCATGAACTCACAATGCTTTGAATATCATCAGCTGATGGGTTCAGATATCCCAAAAATGTCCTCTTTCAGATTTATTTTTATTTATTTTTTTTACATATTATATCATGTATCCCAAAGGTCAGGTCTCAAACGTTAATGTTAAAAAGGAATTAAAATTCAAATAAACTGGAGAGTGGAAGCCAACTGTCTAAAGGCCATAATTAATCATGTTTCATCAAGACACATGTTTCTATTTATTGCGCACACATCTGTTAAAAAAAAGCCAACTTTCTACAACAAAGCTAGCTATTTTTTGACTGTTCTCAGTCAAGTCAGATCGTGTGACCAAGATCAGTTCTTTTCAGGTTGATTCTGAAAAAAAAATCCTGTCCCGTCCACAATCAATTAAGAACAACAGTGACGTGTCAGAGGTTTTGCAGACATTGAAGAATTATGAATATCTCTAGAGGGAATTGCAAATCTGGCTTTTATGAGCATGGCAGCTAGTTTTGTAGGCTTGCAACCAGATGTTCGTTGGATTGCATACTGAAGAAATCAGAAATGCATCACAATGAGGAAGTGACTCTCAGCGTGAATTATGAAGACCCTGAGGACCACAAACATCGTTTGTGTTGTACTTTCTTGGTAATACAGTCTGTGACACATGAGATCCTCATGGGGCCCATACAGCAAGATAGTATATCATAGAATGGTGTAAGTTAGTGTGTGGGTCTGGAGTTCTGTTTATGTCAGCAAGTTTAAAAAGATTACTGTGACAAAACTAAAGAATCCCCTCATGTATGTGTAGCTGTTAACATTTGTTATCTGCCACATCGAGACGGATGATAATATACAACTAGAAACTGAGCATGCTATAGTGTTGTTTACATAAATGGTGCTGTGAAGAGTTTTCTTTCTCAAGTCTTATCTCATATAATGACTATAAGGGTCGAGGGATTTTGATTTATTTATTTAAAAGACTAACATAAAGCAGAGACAAAATCATATAACTATGATGTGAAAAGAAAATGAAACATGGTAAGAAGATTTTAACAGATTTAATGACAAAAAGAGGTGCAACCGATTGCATTCTATAACACAACTGGTCAAAAATGCAACGTGAAAGCTAATGTTCCCCGAAATTCTCCATGCATTTTGCAAAGAAGAATCTGTTAACATTTACATTTCCAGATGTGCAAAGATGGGAAATAATTGCAACTTTAATTAGAGTAAATTTTGGTTATATGAAGATTTAAATCGACAAACTTTTGATTGAAAATGAACCTCAAACTAGGTTTATTGCTAAAAAAAAAAAAAAAAAAGAAAAAGAAAATATGCACTAGTCATTCCACCTCACAATAATGCATGAATTTAAGTCTGTCAAATGCAATTCAAAGTTTCTGGTGAACACTCATTAAATTTGAATACTTTTGCATAGCGTTATATTCAAGAGGTCAGTATTTATTTTTGTCTGTGTTTGTGTAGAGATAGTTTTTTTATTTCAATAAAAAAAAAGGCAACGTGTGGGCTCATCGCAAAAATGCAGGTGTGTTTAATACATTTATCTCAACTCAGGTAGAGACCACTTTCCTCTGCAAATTAATATGACTTAGTGTCTACCTCTCCAAATCTGCATGATGGACAACATGAAGTGGATTCTCTCTCTTGCTCCCCAAAACAGTTTTAGAATTGATATGCAGATCAGAAAGGGGGAGATAGTAAATATTTTAAATATGCTAATCACTATTTTTAGATGTCTTGAACTCATTTGGCTTGGTGTCTATATGCTAATGAAAATATGAAATAAATGTGGTGGTAAAATTGGTCTCCATGTAGGAGTAAAATAGAAGTAAATAACACACAATATAAAACTCACCTGCTTCACAACAGCTAAACTGATGCATTTTCTTGAATTTCACCTAATGCTTTTTTTTTGTTTGTTAACTGTCTTTTGGGGTTATCATGGAGTAGTCATGCAACTTGAACCCTTCATATCATGAGCCCACATGTGCAATGACACTCCTGCACTGTACCAGTGAACTCTTTACAACTGCAACTACATTCTGGTTGCAGGAAGCCACAGGCTCACTGAGGCACATGAAGCATGCACTTACCCTGGTTTATCGTTATTTCTGACCTTGCGAGTCAATCTCCATTGCATTGCAAACCCAAGTTGACTTTAACCCGGAAATTATCTCTTCTATGAAGCATTTATCATCATGAGCACATAGTCACTTCTGTTTTAGGAGTTCTGTTTCCTCTGAAAACAAACTGAAGTGAATTTCAGAAGAAAGATGTGGCTTCTGCTGCTCAGTTTACAGTAATTATTCAGTGACGGTACTTGGAACGTGACATGAACTGGATGTTCACCAATGACAGCTTCTATAGCATGAAATCAGCTAACTCTCTCTGGTCAATGGTACACATTTTAGATAATTTTCCTAGAAACTACTATCAGTCTGTCATTTGGATAATGCAGTTGTTTTCCCCTGAACTGATGAAAAGATAAACTGCTGATTGTAAACCCATAACTTTTGTTTCATGGCTTTCCTCTTTATAGCTAAATACAATTGAAAATAAAAATCTGGAAAAAACATAATGCAGATTTATATGCTATGTCCTTTATTGCACAATCTAAAAATGAATAAATCCAATCTCAACCAATGGACTAAGACCAATGAACACAGAAATAACGAGAATAAAGTTGTGCAGAAGTTTAAAAAAGGATTCTTTTAATAAGATAAGCCATCAAAAAGAAGCTGTTGAATCCTATGGTAACCTTTAAGGAGTTACCCAGGAGAATCCATTCAGGCCGATGCTCCAAAAATCTGGCCTCTATGAATGAGTGTCAACTTTTTATACTGTTAAAAGACATTTATAGTAAAAAAAAAAAAAAAACTACTTTAACCCAAGTAATGTAGTGGAAAGAACAAACATTCAGAAGAAAGTGATGCTACAAACAAAATAGCATGTCTGTCTCGTCCTGATCACATCAA